GCGTTCCAGATATGGAAATAGCTAGGCTTGAATAAAGGTATTCAAACAAGTAGTTCCTTTTCCTCCACGGAGCAAAAAGGCAAAGTGACTCCCTCAGTGTTGTCATTGGAACCAGACTCCTATTCCCGGCATAGCTCCAGTGTCTTCCACAAAACTGAAAGAAGTTCCTGACTAGGGAACAAAACTGCAATGAGGGGAAAGAGAAGAAACCCAAAAGGACTCAAGCCTGGACTCAAGCCTTATTATCACCGCCTCTCCCCCTCCTCCCATCTTCGAGGGAGAAGCGGCCTCTATCCCTGTTTTCGTCAGCAGAGGGGGCCATTGCTCCACATCGGTGGTCTTCCTGCGGGGCTGAGCCGGTACTCGCTAAGGGCGAGGATCCCCACTAGGCCTTGAGGGTCATTTTAGCTCTCCCCTGCCCATGTGCTGCCTGCATTTATTTAGCGAATGTCACCCTATTTTAGATAAGGAAGGACCCACAGGGATCATCTGGTCCCAGGCAGCCGGCTGTTTCCCCCACTCTGCAAGAGCTCCCGAAATAAACTCCAGCACCTCACCTGACTGCGGTCACAAGGCTGTCATCGGGCTTCTGGCTACCCACAGCCCCCGCTACAGGAGCCAGGTGAGGGCAGATAACGCCTGCCCCCCACCACACACACACACAACTCTGCATGAGCCCCTGTAGAGGGGGCAGGGGTTCCTCCTCCTGCCCAGGGCACCTGCTGCCACCCTCCTGGCCACCTGACAGACCGTGCCTGAGAGCCCAAAGGCTGGAGCCCCTTCTGCTGCCCCTTGAGGTCTTTGCTCTACGAAGCACCCTTTGTGGAGGTAAGTTCGGGCTCACGAGACAACCCCATTTAGAATCTACTCCCACCCCTCCTTGCCCCCGGTGCATCTGTCTTTGCTTCACTCCATCTGGTGTCCTCAGAGGAATGGCTAATTAAACTGAAAAGAGCTGGCCTATTTTTGGTGTTTTTCAGCTAAGACCTGGAGGAATAGCCACAAAGTTTGGAAAGTGCCCCAGGGAGACTGAAAAGCTCTGGGGTTGGCTAGTTATTCTAGGATTGGCAGGTCCTAAGTCCCACAGGCTGGCTGCTCCACTTTAAGGCCCCATCCCATTCTCTGGGTCGTCAGATTTGGCCATGGGGTAAAACGGGAGGTAGGGGCAATAGCCTTTCAGGGGCTCTCCCTCCACATTGTCCTGGAAGAAAGAAGCCCATTTATTTGCTTGTTATTTGCTGCAAAGTCAGATCAGCAACAATTTGGAAATAAGGATTGTTCTCTGCAGGGTGGTGGGAGTGGGGGAGTGAGGAGGTGGGAGGCAGGGAGGGAACAGGAGTGGGGGCAAAGTACAGATCACCATCTCAGGATCCTTTACTTGCATTCAAACAAATATCGTTTCCTCCCCCAAAATTACTGTCTTTCCAAAAAGAAAATTCATCATGTTACTTCCCTGCATTAAAACATCCTTTGGTTCCTCATTTGTCTGCTTAACTGATAAACTGCTTCACTGGACTTATAATGTCCCTTTAAACCGGCCCACACTTTTCTCACCAGATTCAATTCCTGCCATCATTTGCTCTAGCCACCCTGAGTTTTTCACCAGCCCCTTTCACCTATTGCTGTTACCACGCATTTCAAGTCTTCTGCCAGGAATTCCCTTCTCTCCCTAGCAAATGCTACTCATTAGTGAATGTCACCCTATTTTAGATAAGGAAGGACCCACAGGGATCATCTGGTCCCAGGCAGCTGGCTGTTTCCCCCACTGTGCAAGTGCTCCCGAAATGGAAAAAAAACATTTCCTCCAAAAAAATCCATGGGGAAGACAGGCAGTTTGGCGAACTCATCTCTCCCAGGGAGGTGAGGTGTCCTATGTGGGGTCAGGTAGCTAGTCAGATGGGTGCCTTTGGCCATGGCTGTTATGTAAAATCTCAGGATGGAAGATCTGAAACTTGACCATGGGTGGATCTGGTTGCTAAGTGACATTCTGCTACAATGAAGGAAGACACTACCTCCTCTTTCCTCACCTGTCCTCTGAGCCACATCTCACATTCCCATTTCCTCCATGAAGGCCTCCCTGAACACTCCTAGTCCTCTATCCCCAGCTTAGGGTACCAGGTTCTTGCAGTTTTGGCCTTGGTGGACCGCACAACACTGGTGCATGTCTTCTCCTCAGAAAAAGTTTATAGATGCTGTTGAAATTGCCTGCTTAGATTCTTAGAGATTGTCCTGTACATACTCTGCCCCACTTCCCACCCTTCTCCACTGGGTTTTGTATCCTGGAAGGTTAGCCTTTGGGAACTACACCAAACAGACTATCTTGTCCTCTGGCTTTTGGTTGTGCCTGGCCAATGGGAGGCATATTGGCCAGAAGTTGGCAGTGCCTGCCTTCCTCTACAGAAGACCTGTACTGTGGCCCCCACCCCCCGACCCCCACATCATCCAGGGCCTCACCCAGGGCCATGCTAAGATTGAGGCAGCCAGTCCTTCGTCTGTCCTACCTGGCTGCCCCATGGGTTCTTCACTGGCCCTCAAGAGTTCGCTATAACCCCGCCCATGTTCCATAAATGACCTCTTGGTCAGACTCTCCCCCATTTCTCCATCTTGAGTGGAACTGACACAGTGTCCATGGAACCTTCTGACACACCCAGATGGCTCTCCAGCCAACGTACTGCAGTGAACAGGTACCCTTGGGGTTGTACACTTCCAACCATAACACACAGGGCACCTTTCTCACCAGGAGGATTTGAGTAAGTGAGGCCCTTAGCTCAAGGTCCCCAACATCTCAGGCACCTCAGATCTGAACAAGAAGGACTTCAGCATGCTGAATCATTTCCCCTAGTTCCAGGACTTCATAAAAAGATAAGTTCCAGATGAAAAACTTTTTCCCCAGGAGCTTCTCTGTGCGCTGCCCTAGATTGCCTGGAGGACCTTGAGAACCTTATCTGAAACATGCTGGGTAAAGGGAAACCGAGCCCTAGAAAGGAAAAGTAGCTCCTGCCATAGGTCAACAGGAGAGGGTGGGAGGGTCAGGTGTGCTGCAAAGGTAGATGGATACTGACATTCTGAGCTGAGAGGGTTGCACGTGGGGCAGGCATGCATGCAAGGGGACAGGGCTATGGGAAGGAAAAGATAAGCAGGTGTGCAATGCGCTGCACAAACATACATGTGCAGAGGGCAGGGAGGTGCGCTGGAAACAAGGCTTTGGCCAAATTAAGACTTGGTCATGGGACTTTGGCCAAGCTCTTTCTCCCTTCAACTCCTCTGCCCACGCGGTCCTCACCAGAGTTATCACCCTTTCCCAGTGCCGGGATCTGGGGACTGAGTTGTGCCTGGGGGGTAGTCCCACCAGCTGGCTCCCTCCCTGGCCCAAATCGCCTCTTCCCACTGCTCCTCCCATAAAGAAGAGCTGGCACCCTCGGCCCAGCTCCCCTTGCCAGATGAGACACTTGAGCTGGGAGATGACGGGCGCTCTCTTTTTAACCAGCCTGGGCTCATGGGACTGGCTTTCATCCAGGCAGACATATGCAGGCCTCCAAGCAGGGCACACAGCGCTATTTATCTCCTGCTAGGTTCTCAGCAGGCAGGGCAAGCAGGGTGGGGCTTTCTCATTGTATTTAAGCTTCAGCTGGCGCCACTGAATTGCCCCGGCCTTAGCCTTTGCTCTTTTCCCAACCTGGTAGGTAAAAATAACCCCCCTATTTTGGCACCTTTGGGGAGTTGAATGGGGGCAGGGGGAGGAGGGCTGCTGGGAATGCAGAGTAAGCACTGGAGGTGGGGGGCATTTTTTTGCAGCAGCAGGGGAGAGTACTGCTCCAAACCTTGGCTCTGCTACTAACCAAAGGGACAAGGGTGGCTGGGGTCTCAGCATTTCACTTTTTCAGCTCTGAAGAGCCTGGGCACTATTCATTCATGACCTCCAAGGCAGGAGGCACCGCAGGCAATGGGAGGCCGGAGGAGCCAATAGTCAGGGCTAGTAATGGGCAGGGGCCATCACCACGGAAATCCTTTGCTGACCTCCGGCCCCGATCCTTCACCTTTTTTTGTTGCGGGTGATACTCCAGGACATCCAGTCCATGTCCACCACCAGATGTGTCTCATTGTATTTCAATTCTTCACCCAAGCTTTAACTTCCCACTGAATTAGAGAGCAAGGACACACGTGTCTCATTCCTGCCTGAGGTGCCCCAGCACGGCCCGAAGACCCTGGGCCCTGACTCGCAGAGCCGAGAGAAGACAGGCGGAGGAGCGGGGCGGTGGGCGTGGCGCCCCCTGGAGCCCCTGTTGGGCCTGCAGTTGGGTACGGGGCGGATTCCCCGAGCCCCGGGGCCCCTACCGGGTTTCTGACTTCACTGACTCTGCGGTCAGAGAAATCTCAGCCTTGCTCCTCCTCCAGCCTCAGGTCCACCCAGACTCTCCCAGCTGAAGCTACACGCTTCGGGAAGGAGGAGGATTTAAGTGCAGAAGAAAAGAAAGAACAGAGGGATTACTCACTCTATGCAGCTGCCTCGGGCCAGGTCAAGCTTTGAAGGGGTAGGAGAGGTGGCGTGTGACACAGCAGCTGGGAACCAGTTGTCCCTGCAGGAAGCCCGGACCCCGGAAGCGCCTGACCCCTGCTGCAGCAGGATGGAGGGAAAGCACCTGTGACGCGTCCCGCGCCTGGTGCCCCCCGCGCCGGGAAGTGTGAAGCCTCCTCCCCCTCGCTCCTGCCTCTTTGCCTGGCCATCTCCCTGACGTTTTGGGGCAGAGGGTGGCTGGGTTCCAAGGAGAGGAGAGGGCTCCACGAACGGGGCTCACCACGAGGGGACTGGGGCCAGGACAATGTGCGGCAGCTGCTCCCAAGCTATGGCCACGGGAAACGATACCGGGAACGAGGTGCCTGAACCCATCCCATGAACTCACCTCAGTCTCCAGCTCTGCCTGGGGAATGGCGGTGGGACAGAACTAAACAAGGTTGATTTAGCAACCAGAGAAAACAGCAACGCAAGCCAGCTAACTGTTGAGGGACAGAAGGGAGAGAGAGTGGGAGGAGAGGGGAGCAAGCCCTGCGCCCACCGTTTCCTCCACCCGTGGGGTTGCTTCGCTTGGTGAATTTGGGACAGAATTGATGTTTGACGAGGAAGCCCCAAGGGTCAAAGCCCTGACCTGAAATTATGTTGGAGGAACCCCAAGGGTGACTCCCTCGCATCTTCAAGATCAGAAATGGAGGGAGGGCCCAGCAGCTGGTGGCTCCACACCTTCTCCCCTTTCATCTCTACCACCTTTTCTCCAGCTCAGAACAGGAGCCTCAAACTGCCTGCAGAGACTCAGCGCTCGCTTCCACTTCCGAAATAGCTCCCCTTCCTACCCATTCACATGCAGATTTATACAAACTCAAAACCCAGAACAGAGTGTAGGTAACTTGGGAGTTTTCTCTAAACCCACTGCCTGGCTTTTGTTAAATTCTGAGCACGTGGCCTACAACACTGTCCTTGCTCCTTATCTCTGACGAACACCACTAAAGTATTCCTTTTTTTTCCCACGCATAGCAGTTGCTCAGTAAGTCACTGTTGAAAGAATAAATGCACCAACAAAGGCCTGTATGACCGTGCTTCAGAAGGGCAGAGGTGAGTTGAGCTGGGGCCAGCATTCCACTCCTGGGGCTAATTAAGACTTCTCTGCAGGGGGTCAGACTGGGAATCCGGGATCTCCTCTTACAGCAGGAGCTCAGCAGCAGCCAGACGGAGAGGCAGGGCCGGGCACCCTCTCTGCCGAACTCAAATTGTGCCCAGGCTTATGCTACAGAAAGGTCAGAATCAGACCTCAGTGTCAGTGTGGCCTGGTTGCAGGTTTCTGCCTCTCAACTGAAATTCCTTTTATATAATGAAAAGCAATGGACAGCACACCCAAAGCTCTCATTGCCATTTCACTGCCTTTGGCAAGCTCTGGTGGTTTTTGCCTTAATTGGTACAAAAAGCTGCAGGAAAGTCCTGGTTTGGGGTGCATTAGGTCATGGGAGAATTTGAACAGCCATGTATTTAAAAGAAGGCTGATCTTCTTTTAAATACAGCCCAGCCTATAGTTTCTATAGCAGCAGTAATGTTTCTCTAACATACAGCTGCTTTGCATATGGGAAGATCCTTATCTAACTTTAGGCGGGGCTCCCACAGGGCAGTAAGCCTGTCCCGAAGAATCTGGGACAGTCCACAGGCGGCAAAAGGTAGTCCTTCAGTTCAGTGTCCACTTAGCTCCTGTTGCCAGGGCAATGATGGCTCAGGGCCAGACTCGAGGCGGGTAGGAGCTGAATGGCCCAAGGGACCCTAAGACCAGAGCTTGCCTATCCATCCATTTTCTCAGTTCCCTAAGGTTTTGCGATCCATGGAACAAGGCCTGGTCCTAAGAAAAACACTGAAATTTCCCAAATAAACTGCATTCCTTGAAGCTGCTTGCCAGGCTTCATCCTTAACCTTGAGCTCCAGGAGGGCAGATGTGAGGACTCGTGGAGGGAGGCAGGACAGGCCCCCAGGAAGATGCCTCCCTGAGGACCACGCGTGCGGTCCCATTCCCCTTCTCTGCAATGCCGGCGCTGAGGGGCTAGGAGGGTGCTATAGGCCGAGTCTCTGTAAGGCCGGTTCCACTCCTTTTCCCATCCCAGTATCTCCTTTTCCAAGTACTTTTTTTCTCTATCATTGTCATCAGGTTAAGGGGCTGGACCTGCCGCCCAGCCCCAACAATCCAGTGACTGGTACCCACCCGCCACACTGGGGATATTTCAGTGTAGCACTCAGGGCCAGCTGGCGAGTTCTGCCTTGGTTCTGAAACACTCATGAGATGCTGAAAAATTCTCAAAGTGGTTCATCTTTATTTTGTAAAAAACAAACAGCCGAAAATAAAAAAAAAAAACACTGACTCATCCATGCCAACTGCACTTTCCAGAGGAAGCCAGTCAGCAGATTCAAATGAACAATGATAGGATCCCATGATACCAAAATGATTCAAATCTGGTGCTGTAAAGGCTGACATCCTGGGCTGAAACAGCCACAGGTCACCGGCTGGCTGGACTGGGGGTAGTCCTTTCTTCTTAGTTTATTTGTGGGGTCACAGAAGAGGTGAGACTCTTTCTAGTCAACAGTCAGACACGCTTCTCCTGTTACAGAATGATTCGGAGAGTCTGGGCTCAACTTAGCAGTTGATGAGCTATATTAAGAATCAGATGGTCTCCGTCAAAGCCTAGAGGAGATATTTGTAGCGCTGGCTTTCCTCGGGGGTTATGAATCGCGGGGCTAGAGCTTTTAGTTCTTACGTGGATGGGCTCACTGTGACTCTAAAAACTTTTCTTATTGAAACCGGCAGACATAATTTGACAGACACTGGGGAAGGATTACCCTTGATCACATAATAGTTGAAGGCCAGGTTTGGAAGTAAATTCTTTGTAATTCTTGGGCTTTAGGAAGTACAGGTTTGAAGATGAAACTAGGACATATTGAAATGAGGATATTAAAAATATTATTTAAAACTAGGAGGCTGATTCCTGGCAGAGGACAGCTCTTCCTTGATTTACCAGTCTGGACAGGACGCAACCCTCCAGGTTGTTCAGTATCTGAATGAACATATGGATGTCTGCCGTTGCTCTACGTACAGTATGGTATAGCGCTCTACGTATAGACTGGTCATCTCTGGAGAGACTTAAGAGATGGAGGAAAACCTGCTCTGGCAAATCCACCTGGTTCAAGGGTAAATACTTATCCTTTATTCTCAAAGGAGAAAAAGCAGATAGAGGGAGTCTGTCACAATCTTTGTCACCTTCCCAGCTTCCGTGTTGATTACATAAAATAACAGATGCAAAAGAAATCATTTAAAATAAATGAGAAAGTGTTCCATGATTCACTAAAGTAGTGCGATATTGTTAGTCACGAAAGCTTAGAAACACCTACCAGCTCCTACCTAAAATTTAGCATTTAACCTTAATCATGTCTAGTTAGGAATTAAGCAAAACAGAATGTGTTTCAACGCGACCAGCTGCTACAGATCCAAACTATCCCACAGTTGAAATTGTTATTTAATATTTCGTTCAGATTTTTGATCATGCAATAAACCCCATTCTTAACAGATGAAATGTCATGAAAATGAAAATATACTAACTCTAGCCAGCTGAACTGGTCCCAATCCCCTTAAAACACCTAGGAATAAAGCATGCTATATAGTCATAAACCAATCTTCCCTGGGAAAGAAGACCCAGGCTGGACTCTCTCCTCTTTCAGAGCCCCTACAGGACAGAAGCAAAATCTTCATGTCATAGTTAGGTTAAGGTTGCATTTTTCTTTTCATTATTATCAAGGTGTAAAATACTGGACCAGAAGAGAAGGTAGCCTCACATGATCTTTATCTGGATATCCTTTCTCAAAGAGAAGAGATCAGAGATTGATTGTGTGGGTCAATTTAAAAGAAGACAAGAGGGAAGCACCGTCTTGGTACGGGGAGAGGACTGGGCGTCCATCATCTGCACATGATCAATAGCGCCACCACCAGGTAGTTTAGGGCATCATGAAGACATGGCCCCACGCATCTGAAGCTTACATCCTAATACGAGAGGAAATTGTGACAGCCCGTGAGCGCACAGATCAATCACAGTGGGGGTAGAAGGCAGAACAGAGTCTAATGAGATGAGCAGGCATTAACTGGATTAGCCGATTTTCCATGTTCAAAGAGAAAAATGATTTTAGGAGTGAAATGAAACAAAAATTCCCACCCCCTTTTTTTCACTGTGTCAACAATAATTTGGAAACTCAGTTGAGTTTAATTTAAAAATCAGTAAAAGAGGTCAACCAACTTGACCTGCTTAATTGAAATGATCAACAGACCACAAATGGCTGAACAACAATCTAGTAACTGTAGGATCCAGTCTGAATCTCTGCACTGACCCTGATCCCATTCAGTCACTCACCGCTATGGCTGGGCAGGGATCCAAGCAAAAACTTCATGGTGGCTGAACAGAGGGGCACAGGGTGAGAGCCTCGAAAAGCCACAACTTGTCCCTAAACTTGAAACCTACTCATAAACCTCCCCAGGGCCATCTGGTACAACCATCACCGGGTTTTCCGGCAGCCCACTCTCCCCGAACTTGAGCCAGCCTGCAGAAGACGGGCGTGCCAACCTGCGTGACTCTGCTCTGCATCACTTCTCCAAGTTGCCAAATTTAAGCAGAAACACATCCATTCACCTTCCCAGACTTTTCTAGATTTTGTCCAGTGCCATGGATTGCCTACAGTCTGCCACTTGGCCCAGTTTCAGGAAACTCACAGTCCATTCAACACACAGAAACAGAGCACATGTCCACCTCAGCCACACAGTCCCTTCTCCCTCAAGTCACCCCCAGTGGGGGCTAACCAAGGAGACCTCACTAAAAACACAAACATCAAAATGCAGTACACAGCAGATGCATTTGGGGTAGCAATTTTTTTTAACAGTTTGCTCAAGAGAGCAGGTCTCCCACACTGATAACTGCTGGCAAAAAACAGCCTCACCACATGCTATGCCTAGATAATGGGGACCGTCAAACAACTTCCCGAGGTAAGCAGGAGTTAAGAGGGACCGATGGAGTTGCGTATTCCATGAGCTTCTATAAACCAGAAATAAGAATAGTCCAGTTGCTCAGTCACCAAAAGTTACGAGACCTCCTCCTTTTAAAGAGGCTAAGGCCCATCTTACTACGCTGATGGACAGTGACCGTAATGGGGTATGTGGGGGCGACTTGATAATATGGGTGAATGTAGTAACCACATTGCTCATGTGAAACCTTCATAAGATTGTACATCAATGATACCTTAATAAATAAATAAAACGAAGAGGCTAAGGCCTCAATCTGAGCTCTTGTGCCAGGGAGGCTGGGGCCACACTCTGGACATCTTTCTGTTTGTTCTCATTTTTCACGACCTGTGCTGTGGCCTTAGGAATACTTTTGGATATGGCAAAAGTTCCTTAAATAACACACCCCTGGCATTTTTCTTCTTGTGGTTACTGTTGTGCCCAATGAAAGGAACCTCCTTCTGATCCTAGGTAGATGGCAGAAACTAAATTCCACGGTAAAAATGGAACTGGGTCACCCTGAAAACAGTGTTGTAGAGAGCAATGTAGAAAGCCCTTTGAGGACACAGTTCAGTCCTATGCTTACCATGGAGGAGGGTGGAAGTAGAGGAAAGGAGGAAAAACAAATAAAAAGCAGTGAGTTATTTAGTTACTATCCCTTCTCCATTCTTCCAAGTAAGACATTGGGCTAGTGATTAGTATTATGACTAGCCTGCACTGTTTAAATCATAACAGAGAAAAGGAAAGGAAGTGAAGTGTAGGAAAATGAAATGGATTGCCACCAGTTTCCAGATTTCCTTCTGATAACTGAAGTTCACTCAGAATCTAGGGAACAGTCTTTGGTTTAAATTGAAAGTGGGGAAATTGTGGCACATTAAGGTGGCAGATAGCCAGAAAGAGAGGTGGGAAAGCAAATGTAGTTAGGTTTGCCTGACAGTGATCACATTTATGAGGAGGGTCCATGTAAATGCAGCAAGGAGGCTCATCCCCAGGGTTCCAAGAAAGTAGGGAACTGTAGTCTGCATGCAGTTCATCTGGGGCAAAGAAGCCACCTTGCCTTCCTTGGAGCAGAAGGGTGCATGTGTAATATGACTCAGTTTTAAAACCACTACTTTGTGAAGTGGTAAGATGTCTGTAGGAGCACCCAGGAAACAAATCAGAGGCAAAATAATAAAAATAGCAACATGAAATAAAAATACCGTGCAGCACAGAATTGAAGGGAAGGGAAATGAGCCACAAGAGGAGTGACACCTTCTTCAGGTGACCAACAGCCTCCTAGACCTTCCCCACACATAGCCTTTGTGAGCCCTTCCAACTAGAATGAGGCTTTCGTCCGTAACTGTGGCCACGTCTCACGTTAATGCTGTGGGAGGGACGAGAAGTGCGGAGTCATCAAGGATACACCTTTACCTTCTATTTTGAGAGACAGAAATTTAAACCACTAGAATACATAGGTTGATGTACATCAGATGATAATAACAAAGATTCATTGACCTATAAAAAGTCATTTAATGTATATACCAGGATGGCCAATACAAGCTGGTTAGGTAATTAGCCCTTGAAGAGTTCTCTTAGTCATATAAAATGCTTGCCTTGTTAAAAAAAGAAATCCAGTCAATCAAAAACATATCTATTAATGGGCTTGTATTTTTTTCCCCCATTATCAGGTTTGCAAGATAATTAAAAAAATACATACATATGCATCTCTGAGCATATGGGTGTCCATTAGCTGATCAGTTTTGGCAACACATTGCACAGAGGTATACCGCCATTGGTTTCTGACATCAAGTTAGCTTTAAGCTTATGAGCTATTCCAACAACTGGAGGCAGCTTGGAGCCCAGTCCCTGGAAAGCACTTGCAGGATTTACTACTTGTTTACCTGACAATTTTTCCATGGCCAGAGGTCTGGGTACAGACTTGCTAATCCAAGGGTGTCTTAGTGCTTGAGCTGGAGTCAGGCGGGCAGAGGGGTCCCAGTGCAGGCACCTTTTCAAGAACTCTATAAACAAGTAGTCATCACACCCTTTCAGAGCTGTTACCCAGTCTTTGCTGCCTGGAGGACCCCGCTTTTTGCCCCTACGTGAGCAACTCCCCGCAAGCACAACCGTCCCATCTGCCTGAGTAGTTGCAGAACAGTAGCGAGGTAGGCCCTTGGAGTTAATAAAGTACTTGGCACGTTTGGATTGTTCCAGAAGTTTTGGTGGTGGCATCCCTAGCAACTCCATCATACAGGCCAGTTGGTCTCCTTCGTCCTCCCCAGGGAAGAGAGGCTCCCCTGTTAGAAGCTCTGCAAGGATGCAGCCAAAACTCCATATGTCAATAGGTGTGCTGTAGCGGCTCCCTAAGATGACCTCTGGAGCTCTGTAGAATCGAGACTGGATATATGTGTAAAGCTTCTGGTACTCGAAACAGCTGGACCCGAAGTCAATGACCTTGGTCGCACTGCGCCCATGGTGTTTCAGGAGGATGTTTTCTGGCTTCAAGTCGCAGTGAATGATCTTATTTTTGTGGAGAGCATCCAAGGATTGCAAGATGGATTGAGCAAATTTGCGCACTAACTGGACACTAAAACCCTGAAACTTGTTTTTTTTAATTAGCTCATAGAGGTCTATGCTCAGCAATTCGAAAGCCATGCAAACATGGTTCCGGAATGTGAAACTTTCCAGCATGTGGATAACATTCATGCTACCGTTTTTATCCTGCTTTTTCAGATGCTCTAAAATCCGGATCTCCTCTGCTGCTTGATGGTGGAAGCGCTTTTCGTTGCGCACCATCTTTAGGGCCACATACTGCCGAAGTTTGTGATCATAGACCCGGGCTACCTGTCCAAAACTCCCCTTGCCAATAATTTTCAGCACCTCATATCGATAAGCTAGATGGTCTCGGGGCACATGAATATAGGCCCCATCAGCATCATCATACCCACCGTTATTGGGCCCACCAATAACGCCATGCCTTTTCTTGGCGTTGGGACCCACAAAGTAAATTTCTGGATAATTGATGATTTCCAGCTTCTCATAAGCAGTGAGGTGGTGTTTATACTGCTTCAGTGCTTGTTCTGGGGTCAGAGGCACCACTTTGGATGCCTTGGGTGAACTGCTGGATTTTACCGTATCCAAGCTGGCTGAACTTTTACCCTGAGAAACGGTGGGAGAGCATTTTTCAGAATCATTGATGCCGTCTGACTGGAAAGTATCAGATCTTCTATTACCAAATTCTTGAAACAGCTGTTCTACCTTCATCTCACCTCCATTCAGAACGGGCTGAGTATGATCTCTTGTTAACTGCTTACTGGTGATCTATGGAAAAGAAAAACGAATGTAATATTCAAATCACTAACAAACAATGGAAGGGTGAAAGGCTCTCCCCCAATCCCCTACTAAGCAACATCAAAACATATCCCGTCACATAGGTTAAAATGGCCCCAAAATGAAGAAAGGCTGGCATCTCTAGAAACTTGTATTATACTAATGGGCTCCCTGAGTATTATGGGCCACCCCTGCTCCCACATACACGCGCAAGATGGTCTTCTCACCATACCCTAAATGTGCTAGGTTCCTTCTAATGCGTGTGTCTTTCTACTGGGAATCTTTTTACCCCATCCACTCAAATCCTGTGCTGTTTCAAGGCCCCATTCAGGTTCTCTCTCTTCCACTTAGAACCACTTAGAACAAGCCCATACTAATCAACCTCACATCTTAACTGCAGCTTTTTGAGGTTAGACCACATAATCTGGCATTTGATCATATATATATATATATATATATGTATATGTATACACACTGTCCTATATTGTTTACTAAGTGTTTCAAATACCTTCCCAAATCTCAAGGACATATAGTGGATCAAGATCACGCATATTAAAGTGTTCTGCAAATGAGAAAGTACTGTTCAGTGGCAGGGACAGGATGGCACCCAGGCTCTCCCACCAGTCCAGGGCCCCTCCCAGTGGCATGACCGGGCACCGGGCTCCCCAGGGCCTGTGCCCCTCGCAGTCGGGCTGAATGCCGACTGTGGCTGGGACAACCAAGGCCTCAGCATCTACTCCCAGACCCCCAAGTAAAGTACTGGGTCCTTCTAGCTTAGTCCACTGACTCCCAACGATTCTAAGCCAGAGAGAACTCTTGAGATCATATAGGCCAATTCTTATTTATGAGAGGAGTAAGAGTGAGAACCCAAGGCCCCTGGGCTCTTATAAAACTCGCCTAAAGAAATAAACTCTCTCTCTCTTTCTCTCTCATCTACGCACATGCCTTCCTTTCCTCAGCAGAAGCATACCAGCTTTTTTACTTGATTTTGCTTAACTTTTTCCTGCAAGGAAGAGTAACCCACAGAAGCAAGCTTGACTTATTCCTCTGAATAATGAAACAACACTGTTTGAAATTAGAGTAGAGAAAAGCAAAACAAAAAAAACCAAACACTGACAAAAGAACAAAGAAAAATAAAAGAAAGTGCTAGAACAAAAGAAGAAAAAAGATGTCAAATCTATTGTTTAAAAAAAAATTTCAGGATGCTTCAAGAACATCTATTTTTCTAAATGGACCCTAAAGAACTGTGCCCCGTTCTGTTGAATAAAGAGCTCCTGTGACCAGGGGCAGATCATTCCAGAGATGCTCAGAGCTATAGTTATAATCTCTGTCAATATGATCAAAATTAGAAGGTCATGATCCGAAGTGACCAAAACTTTAAAAGACGGAATTTCAATATAACCTAAGCAAACAACAGCCAAATAAACTATATAAAAGATGAAAATATAAACAGCAGCAGCAAAGGATGAAAACATTGAAGTGTTGGCATACTTTTCATGCAGCTCCTAAACTAGTCATACAAGCAGGACATTAGCTCCAGCCTGCTCCTTTTAGATTATTTAATCAATTAAAACATGTATCGAGGACTACAGCTACAAAACTGAGGGATTACGTGGTCTTACACAAAGGGAAGCAGGCAGCACAACTGTAGCCACTTTGGAATTTAGTTTTTAAATAAAGAGGCAAGACAGGGACCAGGATAAGTCTGATACCAAAATAGAGCCATCAGTGGTCAGCAAATAAAACAGACGCACAGACAGACCCTAAATACCTCGCTAAAATGTAAACCCAACATTTTTATCAGTAACTCATTCCCAATTTTAGGGATGAAAAGAAAAGAGGGTCCCATCCATCCAACAGTCACAGGAATATTTACTGTTCACTATTAAAATGAGTGCTAAAAAAACCCAGTGTTCTCAAGGAACTACAATTAGAGGATATCTGCTGAACTAGGGAATTATAATTGTTTGGTGTTAGCTAGGTTTATATATAACAAAAACGAACATTTGCATGTGTCACAGCCAGTTTTCCTTAGAATTTTTACCTCCTAACTTAAAGGCATTCAAATATTTACTGCTTAAGTCTTGGAGCCGCATTCAGAAGAAATGTGAAGTTAGAAGGCTTGGGTCGGGGACCTGGCTAGACTGCTGAACAGTGGAAGGTCCTGGGCAGGTTACTTAAGCACTTAGCCTAGTTTCTTAGCCTCGGTTTCATATGTAAAATGTGAGTAGTAATACCTATTCTCAGGCTGTTGTGTGAAACAAAATTATAATTAATAATATATGTGAAAGAACTCCCACAAACAAGACATTTTTTGCGAACATGGTAACAATCAGGCAAAATTCCCAATGAGGCTTTAACTCCTCTACACCCTCTTTCCCTTTCAGTTAGTCTATCTCCCCTCTCTGTGGTGCCCACCTCCTTACCTCCAGTCTCCCTGCACCAGACATCGGGCACTGAACAGGCTTTCTGCTCCACGAAGGCCCCGCCCAGGAGGCCTTCCCTTTGGATGCATGAAAACATCTCACTCACCTTCTCCCCCACATAAAACCTGCTTTCAACTTGCTATGCAATTTGATGTGTTACCTCTCCAAGATATCTGAACTTTAACGAAAGATCAATGCCTTAACCGGAAGGGATGACTCTCTAGGGACTCCAGGCATCATGACAAGCTAGTAGGAAAGGTATTTGTGGGCCAGGGTCCATCCTCGGATATTTCACCTACTCTGTGTCTATGCAAGCCTGTACCAGCTCTGGAGGCCTTCATTTCTGTTTGTGATAAAGAGAGGGTCTCAGGTACAGAATATTCATAAGAACAGACAGATAACAAATTTAATTTCCATAGAACTATAATAAGATTAAGGATGTCATTTGGATTTCCTGACTCATGGTTTTTCTTAAAGTTAGCCTCACTCTCTTTCCCTACAAATTAGGTCTTATATTGCCCTTTGGAACTACAGGGGGTGTCTACAGAAGTGCCCAACTTGATGCAAAGCCCTTCTCAGATAGTAAAAGGAGCTGTCCTGCCTCCACCATTTTTCTTTAGGCTTATCATCTGCATTACATCCTCCAGTTCACACGGCTTCTGGCAGGTTGCCTTATTATCCTATTCACATTCTAAACACAGGCTGCACTTTATTATGTCTCTCTTGAAGTGTTGCCCCCAAAACAGACTTCAGGTACACTCCACTATGGATTATCAAGGTTTGAATCTCCAGTGGATCTGAAGAATTCCAGGAAGGAATTTTTCCACACAGGGAGGGGTTCTCTCAGTTTCTTTCCTTTCCTGCAAATAACTCAAAATACTGGCCTGATTCAATATGTATCAAGACAACGGTGCTGTAAATAAAATCTTCCATTGTTCTAATCATGTTTTATTTAAGAATGCTTCACATATACTGTTCATTTGGAAGGCTCTTAACATTTTATATAGAATCTTCAACTGTGTGAAAAGTCTTAAAGATCTGGTTGAGAAATTCAGAAAAGGAATATTCCTCTCATCCAGATATAAAACACCGTCCTAATCCTAGCTCTTGACCCTAAATCTCTGCAACACAAAGCTTAGCCCAATAAAAGCCTACAAGCAGATAATTTATAGTTTACAATAAGACTGTAAGAGTATCTTGGATAAACAATGAAATTAACAGACTTTGTGGCAAGAGCAATAGGGTCTTGGGATGCAGTGATGGCCTAATGAACTCTAAGTGTCACCAAGAGATCAAAAAGCATTTTTTTCAGCAAAGTTTACAAGGACATCACTGGGTTAGGATATAAAATCATTACGTCTCCCCAAAACTGCTACTCTGAATACCATACAGTAAGAAATTAATTTTAATCTTGAAACATATAACTGAATTGACCTACCAGAAGGTGATCAGCATTGGCCAACTCTGAATTAAAGTTAAAATGAACTTCAAGTCACATGTTAATGTATCAGCCCATTTGCAAAAAGTTCCCTGCGGATTCCCTGCTCACTGGCAGCAAGTAACCAAGAAAACTGATAGTTAACAGGAGGAGTGTGTGGTTTGGAGCTCACAGAGGTGTTTACATATTAAAGAATTAAGCTTGCAGAGAAAACGGAAAGGCAACTTACTGCACTCTAGAGAGGAGATTACAAATAGAGCGACCAGCCTCCCAAATATAGTTAGCCAAATATATTTCTACAAATTAAATTACTTTTGTAATACTGGTCCTGAAAGTAGTAAAAAGACCGATTTTAACAGCAAAAGCTGACAAAAAGTTGGGAAGGGCTGTGAAAAATTCAAGTAACTTTTTTTATAAAGAAACAAATTTAGGTCTTAAACACATAAATATGAAGGAGGGTATTACAAATTAGTCTATTCAATTATTCAGTGTGCTGGTTAGATGACATATGCAGCAAAGTTTAAAGTCACAAGATAGCTTCTCCCTGTCATGGAACTCATCCACACCCTGCTCTTTATAATTATTACTATTCTTAGGGATGCCTAGGGAAGGTGAATTAATTTTATTATCTTAACTAAAACAATATCAAAAAACAGTGTCAAAAGCTAAACATCTGCAAGCTCCAAAATGATTAATGTAAGAATATATAATTTATCCTCCATTTGCCCCATGGTCCCAAGCACAGAAGCCGGTGAGAATCATGCCAGGGCTGGCCTGGGGCTTGCTGGGCTGACCCCGCCTTATCTCTAAACATCCCGACCCTCCCGCAAAGCAACAGGCCCAGCGGATCTGCCACAGTAAAAGGCACCACGCTGCTGCCCTCTCTCTCTCTCTGTCTGTCTGTCTCGCTACCCTCTCTCTGTCTCTCTCGTTGTCTCTGTCTCTGTGTGTCTGTCTCGCTGCTCTCTTTGTCTCTGTGTTTCTCTGTCCCCCTGCTCTCCCTGCTCTCTCTCTCGCTCTCTCTCTCTCTCTCTCCTCTCTCTGTCCCGCTGCTCTCTCTGCTGCTCCCTCTCTCTCTCTCTCTGTCTCCCCATCCCTGTCTGGGGCAGCTACTCTCTCCTTCAGAT